AAAACGGAGATTATAAACATTCCAGCGAAACACACACACACATACACACACCAAACCTACTACCGAAAACTCAGAATTCAATTTGTTGTGACGTAAAGCTGGGTTAGGTTAGGTTAAGTTAGGTTAGGTTAGCGTTAAGGTGGTTAGGTTAAGGTGGTTAGGTTAGGTTAATCTTAAGGTGAAATAAACTGAAGGCTAATCCACTCCCTGCTCTTGTAAGTGGAGTTGTTTTTGATATGTGTTCACCGCAGGTCGAGGTTGGACGTCTGTCGATAGTAGTTCCCGTTGTTGGTGTGATGTCCCGTAGCATACACAGGACCACCCTAACATCACCTTAAGAGTCATAGCTAGAGGATTAAACACAGGTCAAGTGCCAATATATTCCGGGTGATGCCTTTAATGATACTCTGACCTATGACCTTTTGACCCATACACAGGACCACCCTAACATCACCTTAAGAGTCATAGCTAGAGGATTAAACACAGGTCAAGTGCCAATATATTCCGGGTGATGCCTTTAATGATACTCTGACCTATGACCTTTTGACCCTGATAGTACAGTAGCTTTAGATGGTGATATTTTATTTGCTATGGATATTGTAGTATTGTATATGTGATCGAGTCTCTCTCTCTCTCTCTCTCTCTCTCTCACATACTGTACACACACACGAACGCACACACACACACACACACACACACACACACACACACACACACACTTGAATGAGTGAGGTCTTGTGACACCAAACCACGTGTTGTCCCCATGATGCTACGACACCACGTAGTGAATGAGTTGCTACAGCATCACGTCAGGTCTCTCTCATAACACCATCTCTGAGGGAATTACTACATCACGTCAGGTCCCTTATAACACCATCTGTGAGGGGGTTACTACACTACGTGTCTGCTGTTCAACACCTCAGCTCACATGATCTACGCGACCTCCGCTGTAAACATTAATCTGTATGTTCACTGTATGTTCCTTCACCTTTCTCTAATGAAGGCTTTGTTAAACCACCAATGTATGTATTAAGTCATTTATGTCCAATGTATATTTTCAGCCTTCGGGCTGCAGAACTTTTTCTATAAACCGTTAATTATTATTATTATTATTATTATTATTATTATTATTATTATTATTATTATTATTATTATTATTATTATTATTATTATTATTATTATTATTATTATTATTATTATTATTATTATTATTATTATTATTATTATTATTTGTATTATTATTATTACACTACCCGTCGACGTGAGTGTCAGGGGAGGTGTAAGTGACTGTGTGATGAGGACGAGATGATGATGGCTGGTGGTGACTTGTTCCTCCTCCCTTCCATGCTCCCTACCTTGCCTTTATGATCACCCTCCCTCCACACCCCTCTCCACCTTTCCTTCCTTCACCCTCTCCATCTTTCCCTTTCTTCACCCTCTTCATCTTTCCTTCTTTACACATCCATCCACCATTATACTTCAACGGATGTGAAGAAGGAAGGAAGGAGGGAGGGATACTGACCATGTATGAGGGAAGGAGGGAGGGGCACTGACCATGTAATAGGGAGGGAGGGCACTGACTGATGTAATAGGGAGGGAATGGGGAGGGAGGGAATAGGGAGGGAGGAGGAGGGGGGCTGACCATGTAATAGGGAGGGACGGAGGAGGGGGGGACATTGACCATGTATAATAAGGAGGGAGGAGGAAGCCAATAGAGATGTTGGTCAGGATGGAGATGATAGTGATGAAATTAATAGTTATTGGGAAAAAGCTGCCACCTGCCATTTGTGCTTCAGCGCGGGTGGCTAATGTAATACTGGTGAAGTGTGGTAGAAGTGGTTGTAGTAAGAAGTGGTTGTAGTGGTAGTTGTGTTGTGGTAATACTACTATATTGTTGGCAACTTGGCGCATTAAGGCAGGAGGAAGGACCTGGGGAGGTACACTGGGGTGCAGGTGCTGGGAGGCTGGGGGTACGGGGTGCTGGGGGTATACGAGGGTGCTGGGGGAAGGCTGGGGTAATGAGGATGCTGGGGTGTACGAGGGTGTTGGGGGTATACGTGCTAGGGAAGGCTGGGGGTATGGGGATGCTGGGGTGTTGGGGTGTTGGGGGTATACAGGTGCTGGGGAGGTTGGGGTGTGCAGGGTGCTGGGGAAGGCTGGGGTGTACTAGGATGCTGGGGTGGCTGCAGGGTAGGCTGGGGCTGAGGAGGCTTGGGGGTGGGGGTGCTGAGGAGCTGGGGGTGTAAGAGGATGCTGGGGGTGGGGTGCAGGGTGTTGGGGGTATACGAGGGCTGGGGAAGGCTGGGGGTGCAGAGGGTGCTGGGGAATACGAGGGTGGGGAGGCTGGGGGGGGTGCTGGGGGGGTGACGGCCTCTACCATGTACAACTGGTCATTACGTGAGCGTCTCATGCATAATAATGTATGGGGCCACCCCCTAGCCAGCCCTCCTAGGTACTGTCCACAGCCCTCCTGGTACTGGTCACAACCTCTATTCACAGGTTCCCCAGCCCTCCTAGGTACTGGTCCACAGCCCTCCTATGTACTGGTCCACAGCCCTCCTATGTACTGGTCCACAGTCCTATCAGTCCTCCTAGGTTCTGGTTCACAGCCCTCCCAGGTTCTGGTCCGCAACCCTCCTAGGTAGCTACTGGTTGACAGCCCTCCCAGCCTTTCTAGGTATTAGTCCACTTTCCCTCCCAGCCTTCATAGGTACAGTACTAGTCTCCAGCCCTCCCAGCTTACAACCCTCTTAACACCCACGTCATCCACTCCACACTGCTTTAGACACCTTTCCCTCTGTTTGGGTCTTGAACAAATTTTTATTAATGTGTGTGTGTGTGTGTGTGTGTGTGTGTGTGTGTGTGTGTGTGTGTGTGTGTGTGTGTGTGCGTGTGGGTGGTGACAGGTAGGAGGTCGACGCACCACTTGGTCTACCTCACACATGAGAGCCAGCTGTCTAGCCCTGAGAGTTACGTCATCACTACTACTACTACTAAAACGTCATCACACACACACACACACACACACACACACAAGTAAGAGTTAATTAAACACCTGTTCAAGCGTTTGTCTCACCTGGTGGTATAATTGATCATATCCTTAAAGCACGATGACAACACACCACTTTTATTACGTACAAGCTGGTGTTGATGGTGTAGGTGATGATAGTGAGGGTGATGGTGGTAATTATGTTGATGATAATGGTGATAATGGAGATAACGGTGGTGGTGGTGGTGATAATGGTGAGGATGATGGTGACGATGGTGGTGGTGGTGATAATGGTGAGGATGATGGTGACGATGGTGGTGATAATAGCTACAGTATTGGTTCTAAGTAATCTTGTGTGTGTGTGTCTACGGTTATCAATTTGAAATATTTACACAGTACTCGTATACTATATACCTGTATACCTGTAACTGCGTCTGTACCTTTATTTCTCTCCCTCTCTGTACCTCTTGATACCTGTCCAATCAATCAGCATTAACGCAGATTAGATTCAGTCATGGAACACCACCGTTAACACTACTGGTGATTGTCTATTAAATTTACCTATTATAAAATTCACTGCAGACTTTATACGTACAAATTATTGCTTTCCACTTAACACAAATGACTTTACACTTAACACAAATGACTTTACACTTAATACTTATGATTTTACACTTTGATACTTGGATTGCAGACTGGTTATTAAGTTACTTGGTGTAAAACTATTCAAACCAAGTGCTTATTGCGTTGAGTACGATGACCTAACCTCTTTAGTACGATAACTTAACCCCTTGAGTACGATGACTTAACCTCCTCAACTTTTTGTGTAGAGTGACTTAACGTGTTGAGTACGATGGCAACTAACCTAATATAACACAAGCAAACTTAACATTAACCTAACCAAGCAAAACCTAACCTAACCTAACCAAGCATAACTTAACCAAGCATAACATAAACAAACGTCACACTACCAAATCCATCCTCCTCCTCCTCCTCCTCCTCCTCCTCCTCCTCCTCCTCCTCCTCCTCCTCCTCCTCCTCCTTCCTCTTTCCTCCTCTTCCACCCGCCTCCTCTTCGTCCTCTCATCTTATCATCATCATCACCCACCGGCCCCACACACACACACCACCTAGTACCTCCTCCTCCCATCACCCACCACCCAGTACCTCCTCCTCATCACCCACCAGCTAGTACCTCCTCCCATCACCCACCAGCTTCACACACCACCAGTACCCACCCAGAACCCTTCTCTCCCCATCACCCACCACCTAGTACCTCCTCCTCATCACCCACCAGCCCCCACACACACCACCTAGTACCTCCTCCTCATCACCCACCACCTAGTACCTCCTCCTCATCACCCACCAACTAGTACCTCCTCATCACCCACCACCTAGTACCTCCTCCTCATCACCCACCACCTAGTACCTCCTCCTCATCACCCACCGGCCTCACACACATACCACCTAGTACCTCCTCCTCATCACCCACCACCTAGTACCTCCTCCTCATCACCCACCAGCCTCACACACATACATATGCTGACACGGTCGTAACCCACCAGGTGTCCCGCTCCACCCAGCTCGGCGTCAGATTCCCCGAGAGCCGTAAGATAAAAATTCCTCGTTACTGAAGATGTAAGAATGTACCTCACTGGCTGACTTAAAATATTACGTAAATATTATGTTATAAAATAGGTGTGAAAGTTTTCCTGGGACTATGCATCAATACGTTCATGTAATACCTAGTTAGAGGCAAATTCAAAGTACAGTATATATTTTTTTCCTAAGATTTGGTATGTAAATTTACGCTCGTGTTAAGTGAATGTAGCTTTTTTTTTTTTTAATTTGTTACCAATTTGGGGAGTTAATTTTGTTTTTTATGTCAACCAATTTTGTGCGTCTTACATCTTCTGTTTCGAAAAATATTGAGCATATAGAATTTATTTTATTTTTTTTTGAAAATCTGGACGCTCATGGCTCCCACTGTGTGAGACGCTCATAAGTCAAAATGGTTTTACCGCGTAACTATGGAGCATTGGAGCAGAGAACAGTTCTGCCAGGTACCATACAGTCCCGGTCTGAGTTCGTGAATAATGTGTGTGTGTGTGTGTGTGTGTGTGTGTGACGCCCTGAAAGAGAGAGCCAGTGACTGTGTCTAGCAATACAGTACCAGGAAACAGCCTAATATTATTTATTCAACACATTACTTCATCCTCATTCTATCTGGCAGTTAGATCAATGCCATAAGGAATAAGTAGTCACATATTCAGTAGTAAACGCGGAGAGTACACGAACTACAGTACCTCCAAAAAGTATCATTCTGAGTAAAGTAAGTTATGTGTACTGTACCATCCCGTGAGGTACAGTACGGTACACCAGTGATACAAGGGAAGTGGTCCCTCGCCCGAGATATTTGTTTACCTTAAGAAAATAGCAGCGCAGTACCTTTATTTGGTGGTCCTAAATGATAAAATATGTCATTTATGTGCAAAATAACGCGAGGAAGTGTTCGTTAAGCCTCCATATTTGTTTAGTGTAACAAAATAGTATCGCAGTATCGTTATGTTGTAGAGTTACGCCACCCGCTCGCTAGTTCTCACTTAATCTCCATCTTACAGGCGATGCTTCGCCCGTGCTGGCCAATTATAACCGGTGACGTGAACACCTTGTGTAGTGATTGGTGGAGCAGGCGAGTGGCTGGTGTTATTAGTGGGTGGCGGAGCGCGGCAGCCACCTCGCACTCAACACCTTGTGTCATAATTTACGGGGCAGCCCCACGGCCTAGCTGGGGGACTGAACACTGTCCCAGGAACTCTTCTCTGCAGCACCCATCTCAACGACTTCCAGCACTCACCTCATCGACTTCCAACACCTACCTCAACGACTTCCAGCACCCACATCAACGACTTCCAGCACCTACCTCAACAACTTCCAGCACCCACCTCAACGACTTCCAGCACTCACCTCATCGACTTCCAGCACCCACCTCAACGACTTCCAGCACCCAACTCAACGACTTCTAGTACCCACCTCAACGACTTCCAGCACTCACCTCAATGACTTCCAGCACCCACCAACGACTTCCAGCACCCACCTCAACGACTTCCAACACTCAACGACTTCCAGCACTCACTTCAATGACTTCCAGCACCCACCTCAACGACTTCAACACTCTACCTCAACGACTTCCAGCACTCACTTCAATGACTTCCAGCACTCACCTCAACGACTTCCAGCACCCAACTCAACAACTTCCAGCACCCACTTTAACGACTTCCAGCACCCACCTCAACGATTTCCAGCACCCAACTCAACAACTTCCAGCACCCACTTTAACGACTTCCAGCACTCACTTCAATGACTTCCAGCACCCACCTCAACGACTTCCAGCACCCACCTTCACGACTTCCAGCACTCACTTCAATGACTTCCAGCACTCACTTCAATGACTTCCAGCACTCACCTCAACGACTTCCAGCACTCAACTCAACAACTTCCAGCACCCACTTTAACGACTTCCAGCACCCACCTCAACGATTTCCAGCACCCAACTCAACTTCCAGCACCTACCTCAACGACTTCTAGTACCCATCTCAAGGCTAATCAACACCCACTTCAAGCCTACAAAACCCACACCAAATTATTAGTATTACGACCCTGTTGGCTTGTTAGACAACCAATCTAGTGTACTGTGGGATGACGAGGGTGGTATGATGGTAGTGGTGGGATTGTGGTGATGGGATGGTAGTGAATGGTGGTAGTTGTGGATGGCGGGAAAGTAGTGGTTATGGTGGGTGGTGGGGGAGGTGGTGGTAATGGTGGGTGGTGGGGTAGGTGGTGGTGGGTGGTGGGGGTGTGGTAATGGTGGGTGGCTGGAGAGATAGTGGTAGTGGTGGGTGGAGAAGTAGTGGTTATGGTGGGTGGGGTGGTAGTGGTGGGGGGTGGTAGTGGTGTGTGGTGGGGAAGTAGTGGTTATGGTGGGTGGCGGAGGAGGTAGTGGTAGTGGTGGGGGAAATAGTGGTACAGGTAGATCCGGGGCGTGTGTGAAGTGGGTGGGCGGCTGCAGGTGGGTGGCAAGACTGGGTGGATAAGATGGATGGGAAACACCAGCTGGTTTGGTGAAGTGCTATAACTGGGTGGGCGGGTGGGTGGACAGGTGGAACAGATGGGTGGGTGGCTGGGTGGACAGGTGAAGTATGGTTAATGGAGGTGCTGTTGGGTGAATGGCAGGTTTAGACGGGTGGGTGTAGAGGCAGGTGGGTGGGTGGAGGCATAGGTGGCCGAGTGGCTGAGGGACCACCCACCACCACACCTCCGTCTTCAACACTGCCAGTAGCTCCTCCCTACAACCACCACCTCACACCTTAAATACCCACCTAGCCTTATAAAACTAGCCAGGGACACCTGTTACACAGAGTAGATGGGCGTGGGAGGGTAGACGGTGGGCGAGTGGGCGTGGTGGAGGCGTGGGTGGCTCAGCACGCGCCAGGTGTTCATTCAGAAGGTGGTGTGCAGAGCCTCCTCTTTTATTCCAAGTGTGGTGAGCGCGGCGGCCAACCAGCGCGCGCCGGCGACACTAGCCGTGGAGGCCACACTGCGCTGGACCACCCAAATACCTCTACGTTTTACCTCTCTCGCCCTCCCACCTGCGCAGGGGCGCCCAGAACCTGCAGGAGGTACGCGGCGGCAAGCTGAGGTACGTCACGGTGCAGGGAGCTGGTGGAGGGCGCCCCGGGGTAACACACCTGGGGGAATCTTACGGTAAAATGTGACACAGGCAACAGGTCGCCACTCAACACCCAATCACATCCCGGGTTGGACGATGCATTCAGCTATCAGTCCGGGTATCGGCGGCCTCTCCCCCCTCCCACCATCTGCCGCCCCCCTGGCCTACACTACCACCACCTGTCGCTCTCCTGGCCTACACTACAGCCACCTGCCGCCCCCTGGCCTCTACCATCATCTGCCGCCCCCTATCCTGCACTACCACTATGTGCCGCCTCCCTTGGCCTACTCTACCTCCATCTGCCGTCCCCCCGGCCTACACTACCACCATCTGCCTGTCTTACCACTGCTGAGGTCTTGTTGGGAGGGGTTGGGGGGGAGGGTAAGCTTAGCCCCGTCTGGTGTTCAAATATATCATGGCCGTGTGGTGGGGAAAACAGCCCCGCTTTGTCTTATCAACACGAAGGCTCAGACAAGTCTTACTCACCAATATTCTTCTAAGATTAATAATAATTACTTGGCAAGATAACACATGATGTAAATTGAACTAAGAAAAAAAAATAAGAAAAAACTTGGGTTGAACGAAAGGTGTTCTTTAAAAGCCTAAATCAGGATGTGGTTGGGTTTGGAATTATTTGTTTTTGTTGGGCGGACAGAATACTAGGCTCGGACCCAAAGTGCGACAGGTTAAGGTGCGGTAATTGCGGAAAATAAATATGAAGAGCCAGAATTTCGGCATGGCTTGTGTCTAGAGCGATAGGAGATTGTGAAGACCCGAACATTATGAAGCTGTGAATTAAGGCCAGTTTACTGCCGCACTAAGTCAGCCGGGGAGCGCAAAGCGTCATCAGCGGAGCCAAATCCGGATAAGTTAAGACCTGTTTTTACCAGCTAACATCTTAATTTAACATTCACTAGATTTGCATTCAGCACAATCACTTTATCTCGGTATAGTGAGGTATACCACAGTACAAATTATAATGCCTTGTTTGGCGGGTATTGTAAGTACTTTGTTTTGGGTGCCGGAGCTCAGCCAGTGTTGACATCAGCTGAGAACACGCCGCCAACATCATCCCATTTTCTCTGTTATGTTTCGTTTTTGTTCGGTGTAAAATTTGATGTTTATCTTTTACAGCATGTAATGCCTCGTTTATAATGATGATCCTGAACGAGTTTTTTTTTTTTTTTAACATTACAAAGTTTATTCATATTTAGCTTAAGGGGGTGATGGGGAAACACCGGCCAGGACAGCCTCCCCCAGCACGACCACCTCACAAGCGATGCTTGTCTTATATCTTCCTTTTATATTTATTTATTCATATATTTCTCAGTTTTTCATTAGATTGTCTCAAGAGGAGATAAAGATGCCGACGCTCCTGGTAGAAAGATTAGCGTGTGTGAAGTTTATGGGGCGGGGCGCTCGTCTGTCCTAAACTAGCATGACTACAGGACACATGACCGGGAGAGACTACTGTAAAATAAGGAGAGACTTCTGCTGTAACCACAAGATATGAGAGAGATTAGGAGGTACATGTGTAAAACAACAACAACAACAACAACAACAACAACAATAATAATAATAATAATAATAATAATAATAATAACAATAATAATAATAATAATAATAATAATAATAATAATAATAATAATAATAATAATAATAATAATAATAATAATAATAATAATAATAATAATAATTTATCGAGAATGCAGCCGCCAACAGGTGATGACGTGCAGAAGATAATTCTGTAATTGGTATAAAAGAACATATAGAAGAATGGTGAACTGCGTGTGTGTGTGTGTGTGTGTGTTTTCAGCGGAGTAGAAAGCTGATTACAACTGGGGTTTAGATAATAAAACTGATGATAACTTAATTATTCTTACTGTAGATGACCATTGAGGGGATTACATGCAGATTAACCCCTCAGCTTAATTCACCTTAAGATTAAACACCCTAACCAGGTAGCGGCGTTAGGTTGTTTCATTATCAGGTGAAATAAGCCGGGATGTCTGAGCCATGGTGGGGGAGAGAACGCTGGTTATTGAACACTGAACGTGGAGGGGCGGGAGGCCGGTGTTGAGAGCCTGATCGCTGATAAGGAGGTTCACGTGAGGAGGTGCAGCCGTAACCTCACCGCCAACCTTCACCGTCTGCTTCAGCTAAGATAATCCCACCTAACCAACTTAACCTAACCTGACCTGACCTAACCCAACCCAACCCAACCCAACTTAACCTAACATATCGTAACGTGATCTAACCTATCCTAACCCAACTTAGCCTAACCTAACCTAACCTAACTTAGCTTAACTTGACCTAACCTGACTTGTTCTGATTTGACCTATCCTAACTTAATTTAACCTATTTTAACTTAGGGATGCTGTCATTTAGGAATGTTGTCATTTTTGTATGCTGTCATCTAGGGCTGCTCTCATTTAGGGACGCTGTCATTTAAGGATGCTGTCATTTAGGGATGCTGTCATCGAGGGATGCTGTCATTTAAGATGTTTATGCTGTCATTTAAGTATGCTGTCATTAAGTATGCTGTGCTGTCATTAAGTATGCTGTCATTAAGTATGCTGTCATTAAGTATGCTGTCATTAAATATGCTGTCATTAAATATGCTGTCATTAAGTATGCTGTTATTAAGTATGCTGTCATTAAATATGCTGTCATTAAGTATGCTGTCATTAAATAGGCTGTCATTAAATATGCTGTCATTAAGTATGCTGTTATTAAGGGATGCTGTCATTTAAGGAATGCAATAATTTATGTATGCTGTCATTAAGTACGCTGTCATTTAGGGATGCTTTCATCTAGGGATGTTGTCCTTAAGGCATGCTGTCATTAAGTATGCTGTCATTTAGGGATGCTGTCCTTTAAGGATGCCATCATTTAAATGCTGTCATTTAAGTATGCTGTCATTAAGTATGCTGTCATTTAGGGATGCTGTCATCTAGGGATATTGTCCTTTAGGGATGCTGTCATTAAGTATGCTGTCATTTAGGGATGCTGTCCTTTAAGGATGCCGTCATTTAAATGCTGTCATTTAAGTATGCTGTCATTAAGTATGCTGTCATTTAAGTATGCTGTCATTTAAATATGCTGTCATTTAAAAATGTTGTCATTTAAATATGCTGTCATTTAGGGATGCTGTTTTTTAAGTATGCTGTCATTTAAATATGGTGTCATTTAGGGATGCTGTTTTTTAAGTATGCTGTCATTTAAATATGCTGTCATTTAGGGATGCTGTCATTTAGGCATGCTGTCATTTAGGGATGCTGTCCTTTAAGTATGCTGTCCTTTAAGGATGCTGTCCTTTAGGGATGCTGTCCTTTAGGGATGCTGTCCTTTAGGGATGCTGTCCTTTAGGGAATTCCTCTAATGATATTCCTTCGGTTCATCCCACTGCCATATTGTACTGTACCGGGGCTGGTCCAGTGTCCCGGGGTGTACACTACTTTTGTATATATGAAAACTCTGTACCTGTAACTACTAGTATCTGTACCTGTAACTACTAGTATCTGTACCTGTAACTATTAGTATCTGTAAAGTAATAGTGAGGAAGACTATAGGTGGTAAGGCAGGTCATATGGTGAAGCAGGCCAGGTAGTGATCCAAGCCAGATGGTGAGGCAG